ATGTAAAAATTTCCGGGAGAACAAATATAAGGTGACCTTTTCCAGATTACAACTGGCTGAGGAGAAGGCTACCTGTGGGAACCTGATCAGGTTGTAAGTCCCTGTCTAAAAGGATTGCAGTCAATCCAGTCCAAGAGCATAAAGAACTCTTTTCCTAAAAAACAAAAAATAAAATAAAACAAATGAATGAGCTCATGTTGCTGAGGGTGGAGAATCTGATTATTTGCGCGGGAGTCTCCACTATCAGCAATATCTCGTGTGAATGCGTGTGAGTGAATGTGTATGACTGGACCAAGGTTATGATGAATAAATTTGGATAAACAATTTACCATGCCAGCAAGAGAAAGGGGGTAAAATTTTGATATAACTGATGTTGCCATTAACAAAAGCAGGCTACTGTAGAAGTCAATCAACTTTGATAGAGGAAAACAGTTAGAACCAAAGCCAAATTTAGAAATTATATAGGGCATTGGTAGACTTGTTACATTAAAAATGTAAGTTATGGAATAACAAAGACTGGTACAAGTGGCCGAGGTTTTTCCGTTTAAAATAGTAAATTATTAAGAAGAGAACAATTGGGATGGGTCTGTGATACTTGCTGGCACTGAAGATAAACAGGAGCAAAGTAAGGAAAGCAAAATGACTTTGGTCAGCTCTGATAAATTCAAATTAAAAGTACCATGACCTTAAGAGGATCTATGTGAAATTAAAATACGGGAAATTTTCCATGAAGTACATGACTGATAACTGTTCTGTTTTAAGTTTTCTTTCTTATAACACAGATTGGATCATAAGTGGGGAAAACTGAGTATGAAATGTGAAGTTCAGGTTAACACACAGGTTTTTTTTGTATGAAGTTCCAAGGATGCAGGCTCTGGATTGAGCCAGGAGTTTGAAAAGATTTGACATGATGATTAAACTGATTTTATTCCTTAACCACAGGTTTGCAGGCCCGGAGCAGATATACCCGAGAGGAGGATCCTTGAGTTGTTTTGAGAAATAATATCACTAACCTTTTTTCTTTTGATTTCCTTAGCTCTGGTGAAGCATTTTCAGTTTGTGACACATAAGAGGTGTCAAAAGGGGGGAATTTCAGGTTTAATTTGAAATGAGGGGTTTTAGGATCATTTTATGACTTGTTGGGTGTTTGATAATTTAGGTACGGTAAAACTTATGCATAAGTGATTGCTTATATGCTTAAGCTTAACTGATTGAAAATCTCTGACTTGGGTTTGATGTATTTTAGTAGAATAAGCGTTTATAATCATTTTTGATACACACATTGCAATTGTGCTCATAAAGAGTTGTTAAGCACTCACCCTTAAGAAGGTCTTAAGCTTCGTTTAGCGGGACTGTCTGAACTGATATATTGCAGGGATGGCGTGGAGTGTAGTGAATGAATGCATAACATGCTTACATACACAAACATCACATAGATTTATTTTCTAGGGTAAAGGTGGAACACATCTTGCTTTATCTTTGCTTAGCAACTAGTGATGCAGAAGCTATTAAAGGAAAGTATGCCATGAATAAGTCAACAGGAAACGGGTAGGGGTGAGATGGTTGAAACAAAATGTTGCAGATAACGGAAACTTGTCTAATTGTCATGAACTGTAACTTTTGCACGTTATGTATCTGCTGGAAGCAAAAAGAGGCGTAAATCCTGATAGACAAAATTTTGGAGTGTGCGTTCTAGCGGAGATTTATGCTGATATGGGGATGGTGTATATCTTACCCTGGGTGTGTTTAATAAAATTAAAAGTGTTCCTCACACACATAAAGAGCATTGAGATTAAGTAAAGATTAAGTAAAGTTAACATAAAGGATAGAGCCCAGAACATGATATTTTGAACCAACTTTGAAGAATTAAGGGAACAATAAATGAACACAGTAGATTTAATATGACATTCATGGTGTTATTACCCCACCTTTCCCACATTTCAATGATCTTCCTCGTACCTTTAGGCGGCATCATCATCACTCAATTCTATTTTGGACCATACCCTCTGCTATTGTTAACTGTTGTTTTGGTTTTGGCTATTTTCCACTATAAAATTTAGTTAACTTTTTACAGTGGCCTGCTATGCTTAATAGTAACATATTCCAGTGATGAGTGATTTTAAAAGTTTTGTCCACTGTAGCTTTTGGTATTCCCAACAATATAATGTGATACCTTAATCAAAACACAGCCGATAAACACAATTTTCTTAATGCAAACATCAGTAACTCAGAATTAGCAGCCAAAGGGTTCAGTCTGCAGTTCCACACTCTCATGTGAAGCTATAGTCTCCCCATCTGGTCTCTCTTGTCCTCCTGCTCCTGCAAAAAACAAAACAAAGCATCCACCCTTTTCTTTCAGGCTGGGTGAATTGTTTGTCAACATTTACTAATCCTAAGGTTAGTGTAGTCTTAGTCTCAGTATCAAGCCAGTCAAAGCTTTAGTCTACATCGTCAGTCCATCACAATCTAGTCACACGCATTCATTTGCACACATCCATACCAGATATTGTTGATAATGGAGTCTCACGTGCAACCTATTCCAGTCTCCATCACCAGCAAGATCACGCCATCATTTTAAACGGTAAACAATTCTATATGATTTTGGACTGGATTGACTCTCTGGAATCCATTTGGACTCAGGACTTACCATCTCATGTGATCAGTGTCCCATATAGGTGAAAACCCTTTATAATCATGGAGAAGCACACTTTGCAACTGTTTCCAGTAAGAATATTTCACTTTAGAATAGCACTTTAAATTTCAATCTTCCAGGCCTGGTTAAAAGAGAGCTGATTCTTAAATCATGAACTCACAAAATATCCCCACGTGTGGATCACACATTTCAGATTTCACAGTGTACCTTAACAAAAGCAAAAACAAAAGTAAACCATGAAATAATGAAAATAACTAATACTAGGGCCAGTTCTGGACATGTCCAAGCATAAAACCATCTATCTCTCTCGTAGAGAAAGATCACAGCCCAAACCTCACTGATAAAATAAACCTACTGCTAAGAAAATCAACAGAAAACTCAAAGGAAAGGTTTACTTTTCCTCATGGAACAATATTGTTTGGGAATTAGAATCTCAGGTGCCGTAGCATGAAGAGTTGCATTCATTGCTCCTGGCTTTAATTAGTGTCTGATACTTTCTTAGTCGGAACTCAGACTTAAGTGTCACTCCATGAGTCACCAATTGTGAGCTCTTTTACAATTGTCCACAAATCTGCGCCGGTCTTCCGACCTGCTGTTACTAGACATATCAAGGGGAAATGCAACTTCTTTTATTCCTCCAGGAATTGAACTTCAATCATAGAAAATGGAGAGCTCCGAATTAAACATTGCACAGTCAGTTTATCATTTTCACTCTGTACCACTGCTCCACATATCTCTCATCAGGCTGTGTGAAACACAGTGAACAATTCAGTCCAGGCCTTGAGCAGCCATAAATATCCTGAGGCATGCAGTCACGTGCAAGAAACTCCACTAACTCACCACACACAGACATTGTTTACTTAAGCAGAGAATTATAGACCTTGTTTGTTAAATGTACATTAGTGCCCTCTGGATGACATAAAATTCGTTCCAAGTAATCAATGGCTTCTTGTAACAGATTCTGTATGTGTGTGTGAGAGTGTTTGTGTGTATATTTAGCATTTTGCAGATCAGCATAAGCATTTGTTACCAAAGCATTCTTCATTGCATCAGCATGTGTGTGTGTGCATCAGTCTTCATTGCACGAATGTGTGCATGTGTATTTTGTGTGTGGATCACTTCTCGGTGAGTCAGCATGTCGGTTTAGGTGTGTGTGTGTGTCATTTCTCACTCAATCAACGAGTGCACATGTGTTCATGTGTGTGTGTCACTTGATGCTGAGAAACAGTGTGGATTTAAATTTAGATTTAGATTTGTGTAGATTCAAATTTAAAGTAACTGTATAGGAGTATAAAGCTGAAAAACAAGTTAAAAGAAAAAGTACAAAATTGTTGTGACCCCTGTTATCATCTTACTAAGCATTCAGTAGTGGCGTTCCTGTGTCCCCTGTTGTAGATTCTGCTTGGACCCTT